TTACGTGTACTGCATTTTTCTTTGGCTAATTAATTACAATAAATATTTAGAGAAATATTTATTTAATATTTACGAATATTTAACCCGTGGTGTAGTGGATTATATGCATTGGAATTCACTGCAGGTGCGCGTTGTACTATTGATATAAGTGTATTTGCATATGAATAGTTGGGTATCGTATGTGAAGTCAATGACATTGCAGTACGTGCCTCAATTGTATGATTAGTAGAGCAGGTAAACCGAATGTTGCCTGTTGCTGGCGACCATGTATTGTTCATCATTTACTGTTCCATTTTGATATTTGATTGACTTAGCATTAAGAAAAGAAAATAACTATTTCAAATAAAACTACATTCAGTATGTATGTCAATCAGGTTAACCAAGTAAATTTGTTAATGTCAATTTTGCACAACCAAATAACAACACATGTTATAGGTCAGAAAATGTTCACCGAAAGAGCCCCTTTGTTGTTTATATCTTTCGATCCAATTTTCAGTCTGACTAACTTGAAGCGGCAATGAACATTTTTCTTTACCACATAAAGATGAACAATTCGTATTGAAATATTGTTTAGACACAATGATGGGGACAGTAGAAAATTATTACGCACGACACACACTATTAAGGAAAATGATACAAAACATTATCAGTGAGAGACCACCTGAGATACTGCTTAGCCTCTGAAGAAGGCGTTGAATTTGACATTTCACCAGGGCCCAAGTGTTATTACTTTGTCCTATAATCCCGGAGGTTTGGTTGACTAAATCGAATTGTTATAGAATGCGCCCTCTGGAGACTAGGATTCAACCACGCGACAACCCTTCGTCATTGGCAAGTGATAGATGGGTTCATACCACTAATTAGAACTTAACACACGAACATGTTAGCGTTTGGGTGAAGTTCTCCCCAAAACAGGTTACAAAGATCAAGATATGGTTTTAATGTTTGTAAAAGCACATGTATGTAATAGAATTCTGGCCAGGAAAAACACATATTTGCCAGTCTAATCTTATACAATATGAATGACAAAACACACAGATTTGTCAGGCATTTTACCTTCAATATACTCAGAAAAGCAGACAGTTTTGAAATGTCCAAAAAACAATTGACAGCTTACACATTATTGAAGTACGCCCTCACAAACCGCATGTTGGTTAAACGCAGTGAAAAACCTCATTGGCTTACAACAACCATATGAACGGTATATGGTAATAACCTAATCGATGGTGTGAAACCTTAAATTAAATGTACAACGTCTATATATTGCGTATATGCTTGTCTTTTAGTGTTTACATTTTGTCAATGGCCGTTACAAATTTGCACAAATGAAACAGGATGTGATTTATCAAAAAGAACAATCCGAGAGAAAAAGGATCGACAGTAACAATTATTGCCGCTTTAAAATTGGCGTGTTGAAAGATACAGAGAAAGAAAAATAATTAAATATTTCGCCACAGCATGTATTTTCTTCAATACATGGTCTGAATGTGATATTCATTTTGATGCTAGGATAGGGGTTGGTTTATTTATATAATGAAACATTAATGACGAAGGATATACAATATAATTATAAAATAATATAAACACAATAAATTAATAAAACATTAATGGTATAATAATTCCATAATAATGGTGAAAAAATAAAAACACAATAAGATAATGATACAATGAAGGTATAATACAATGCAAAATATTATAGTATGGTTGTATTTGAATTTTCGTCTTCTGTCACTATTAGGAGGACATTTTGTTTTCGTTTGAGCTTAACCCCAGCCCCCAAAACAGTCAGAAAGACACAGAATTTCAAGTTTAGATCTGTTTTATAAGTAATTCGCTGTATTACATTATGACGATACGGCGCACCACTGACACGCTAAGATTTGCTGTAATTAACGCAACAGAAAACCATACACTGATTCAGTGATCTTGAAAGACAACTTATTCCAGTTGCTGCCATTTGCAAAATAAAGTTGACGATTTACAAGCAAAATAGTAAATACAAAATAAACAGGGACCACAACATTTGAGGGGGTACTATAAGTCACCAAAATATACCTACAAATGTGTTTTTTGATGAAAATTCAGTTCATGAGCATTTTGAGGGTTCAATAGTTTGTTTTTGGTTATATAATGCTGAACCTTTGGTGAGGAATTTATGGAAATTACGATACGAGTTTAATAAATCTGATATCATGGGGCACGAATTTTTATATTCAATTGATCACGTGTAACCGACTCGCAACTATTTCCTCAATTATAAAGTAAAATATGACTTTCGCTATTTCTCGTCTGGCCTCATTTGCATGACGGAACGCCGCCCCTTGAACACATTGGCATTATAACAACACATTGACAATTTTTGCGCAATTTTGCAGTAATTCTATCAGTGCTATCTCACATTTCACGAGTGATCGGTGAACGGTAAATTGGAAAAACAATAGAGAAACAAATCACGTGACTTTCCGAGATGGGATTGTGAGGATTAGAAACGGCGATGTCCGCAAATTCGACATGAAATCGCAAAATGACCTTTATATTGTCCAAATATGTGAAGAACTTGAATTTTTGATATAGACTAATCTGCAATTGTTTAATTGATTTTTTAACAATAATGAACGACCCGCCAACACATTATGGGCGAAAGCCATTATGGGTTAGCGGAGAGTTCATTATTATCATTATTTTGTAGCATACGGCAAACTAATAAAGAAACTAGTTTTAATCCATCAAATATTATTGTATTTAATACATTTACATTGCGAGTAAACGAATGACTGATGTGTGGTGTGGAATAGCATTGTAGTGATCGCCCGAGCGAGCGGCATATCGTGACTGGTACTCCGTTTCGGTGTCCGCCGCGGCCTTGCACTACGTACGCTACGCTAGATCGCCGCTGTGGGCCGACTGAATCGACTGTGCCTAGAGGCGCATACCCGGGTGGCCGGTGGTTTGACGAATGCTTTGAAGCGAAACGAAACTTACAGGCGTAGCGAGCGAACGAACATGGCTGGAGGGCTAGTGGCTGTTAGCAATCATAGAAAGGGAACCAACAGTGATTTTAATCTGACTGTATAAATAAAAAAACACGTCTGGAATCACGGATACTTTCATTTGTTTATACATACCAGACCGTAATATTTACCGAGGAGTCGATGCTGAGCATATACAAGTCACGTCGGTCTTTCGTCGATCTCATTTTGGAAAAACTACAATAACAGAAACAAATCTCTGTACTCGTAGGCATACCATGACTTCGCTCCTCGCATTTGCTTCGATAAATCATCCCCGGTTAACCTTACGTCAGTCGCAGATTTTAGAAGCGGGTGTACTAGATGGAACGCTTCGACCGAGCACGCTTTAGTGTACTGGACAGAGGACGCTGTTCGCTGTTATTGGCAATGGACCATTTTATTTGCTGCCGATTTTAGTATTAAATACTTGTTATCTAACAATATTTTTTCTTTTTAAATGGTGTCTCCTTTATTCGTTTTCGAAAACAATATTGTATTCATATTCATGGTACAGGGCCTTGATGCTCAATAATCGGATACATTAGCGCGAATAATCTGCTGCAATGACGTTATAAAATCCAATGTAATTGATACTACTACAATATAATAAACATTTAATGTCACCATGCGATTATGAATAGGGAGATAAACATAAACTATGATTTAAATATCAGGGGGGAATTCTTCTCCATGGGGTTCTCCACACGTGTCAGGGGGAATCTCGTCTCGTCTCGTCTCTATATCTCGTCCCCTTGAGGTACGGGAACAGGAAAGTCACTTAAGCTTTACGGTCAAATAAGACACACACAGCGAAATACGTTTCAACTATCGTCTTAGTCAATCAGTCGAGCACTATATAATACACAGCGCCCTGGGGAAAAATCCCCAAGACTATCGCAAGGCTGACCCAAAACTCGCCCAAGACTCTCTAAGACTGGACTTAGACTCTCCAGGACTGCGTCTGTTCTGGTGTACTCGTCAAGACCAACTCAAACTCTCTTTATTCATTTTCAAAACTCTAACCAATTACAATGCAGTAAAAAGACTCTAAGGCATAACCTTCAATCATAAAGCCAATCACACTAAATACTGAATGCGTCATATCTTTTGATTAATCGTTCACTACATTAATAACTACGAATACCAACTGTCAGAATTAATAGTCCGAAGAGCGACGGTTATCTCGTAATTAGTTCCAAATCACTGAGCCAAGTTCCGTCCAGGACCTCGCCTGCCTAAACGATGACAGACATAACACAGCAATTCGCTAATAATCAGCTAATTAAGTCGGTCAACAGATACGCGTAAACTAATTCATGACATAAAACCCAAAATGAAAAGAAAAGTCTCAAGACCCAAAAAGATAAATGCTAAGAATCCTCAAAACAAAAAGAAATCTAAAAATATATAATATTCAAAACTAATTCCGAGAAAACAATCATTTTATGATCAAAAAATGATAACAAAAAATGAAGCAAATTCAATACTTAATCAAAAATGGTTAAAAATAAACAACTAATAATACTATTACAATTATCAATTTGGCACATATCTTGTCGCATACGATTTCCACATCCGAAATTAGATTTGATCATTTATTCTGAACTTTTTGGCAAATTTTTCGGGGTCTTGTCGGACTGCAATACGGCGATACCAATCTACATTATTGTATGTCAACTGTTGGCAAAATTGTGTATTATTTCTACTTTTATAGACAAGTCGTTTTAAAGTACTCCTTATAGTGCCATTTGTTTGAAACGTGGCGCATTGGTCGCTGTATTTCTTTAAAAGACCCCGAAAATGTGCCAATTCGACTTCAAAACTTGGTCCAAATTGTCGAATTTTTTCCCACAATGTACTGTTGAAATAATTGTAAAAGAGATAATCTGCATTTGACCACCTATATACGTTGTGTCGAAATGTGTCTGTGATGGTTTCACGTGTGGTACGTTGATTTTGTGCTAAATATATTATGTCTTCAAAACTCCATCACAGCAAATTTTTCAGCAGAATCAGAGATTCGTCGAAGTATTCAAGTATAAGAACTAGGTCGAATTCTTTGTCCAGTCTTATAATGGTTTCATTCACAATACTTTCATTGAGTGTTGATTGGAAGGATAATCCAAATTCTCTCAACTGAATATTTCTGCCCGTCGCATTTATAGAGATACGTGGGTTTTTAATGAATGATTGCATAGACGCCATTACTTGTTTTCTGTGCTTGAAAAAGTTCATATGTGACTCTACGTGCGTGGCTGGCTCTCTTAAAATAGTCACATAAATAGGGTTGTCCTCCATGAATGAGTTTATTGTTTCTCGCTTGTACGACACATGACTAGTAAGGATATTGTATTTGAATGATGAATTAACAGCGCCACCAAGCGGTGGCAGAATTACTGACTCATTGATATGTATCTTTCGTATATGTCCGTTCCCTCTATTAAGCGTGGAAAAAACGAATGATAGATTATTTGCATATCCGTAGCGACACAAGATACATTGAAGTGAAGTACTTCCTGTTTTATGAGTTTTTATAAAGACGATATTCTCTGCTAGTTGGCACGTTGATTGTGACGGTTTTGTGGTGTATCTTCCACTATCACGTGACACAAGTGGCATAAGGTTGCTCGTGAATCTGCTATACCATGTCACAATAGTTGCAATGAGTAGTAACGAGGAAAGAATCTATAAGAAAAAAAATCAGTTAAGTGTTATAATATACTTTTAAGTTACAAGAGTAAAAGAAAATGACTGGAGAGTACATTACCCTACACCATTACACTATAATTGTCAGCGCTACTATATTATATGCATCATGTACAGTTTTAAATAATACAATTGGTATTGATCTTATATCTAGGCTGTTCATGTGTCTTTTAACTGGAGTATATATAATACAAAATCTCTCTCTCTACCTTCATGCCAGTCACTAACGGAGAGCTCCTTATAACGACACGGAAGATGATGTTACAATAAGTAACAAACCTCAATCAATCTCATTTAAAGTACTAGATGAAATTATGTGCTGATAAAATCTTGTAAATGTGTTTTCCATACGAATATATCTCGTATTGCCTATCGTCCCAGTGTAATTTAGTTCATCGACACAGCAATTCTTCTGCAAGTACTTTCTTAATCAGGTCGCATATTTCATTGTAAGCATTCTTGATTGATTTCAACTTATTCAACTTCAACTGCCAGTGTCTTAGGTGTTAGTTTGAGGGTTTCGCTGCATTTAAAATAATGCCAACTTACCGTCAGGAGAAAGCATTTAATGTACGACGTGATTCCCATCTCATAACGCAGATTTGTATCCTATGTTAACTCAATAAACACCTAAAACAAGTGGATTATGATAATTATTAATGTAAATGTGTTCAACTTGTTACGAGCACATGGGCAATTTGCAAAAATTGTAATCAAGTTCAAGCATTGCTATATTATAGTACAAGTACATCAGGTCTCTAGTAAACTTAATCTTACTAGAACTGGTCAGGAGCTTTACTCGTGGAAGTGTGGCCGCAGGATACGCAGCATCACGAGTGTCCGTTTTGTGATGAAGTTGACACAGTTCAACACATATTAAATTGACGTGCATTAAGGGTCTATGGCGTAAATGAGAAAGCATAAATGCACGACTTGTATGTGTTTAAACACAAAAACAGCTTCCAATCGGCATTCTGTCATTGAATTATGAAACGAATGCTAGTGTATATGTATCTCAAGATGTATGACATAACTGATCAGTCCATACTGCTCCGAGATGTGGCACTATAATGCCATACAATAAAACAATGTTGACCAACGTAATGTGTATTAAGTTCCCCTAATATACAATGTATGCCCAAGTGTGAATGGAATCTTTCTAAGCACAACTGAGATATGGTTTTGAAATATCATAATTACTTGATTATTGAACAGATTTTCAAACGCTTTACTGTAAAAATAAGAAAGAATCCTCAAAATCAAATCACAGATTACCAGCTGGAATAAAACAGATTTAAAAATACTATTTTATCGTGTGTGACAAAAAATAGCTCACATGGTTTCGGAAAGATTCTGGTTCTAAATGGACCACATAACATATTTCAGGCAGAATTATTTTCGAGTTATATACAAATATTTAGGAACAATGCTGCCCAACATTCAAAGTTTCTTAGATATAACATTTGTATGTTTGAATTATACAAAATGTCAACCACAATATGCCACAAACGAGAATCATTTGAATCAATTATATAACGTATCCTTATTTTTCTAAATTGCACGACAAATTAATACTGTAAGATTAAAGGTGATTTAGGCTTATCTCACATATTTGCATTTCGGCTATGGGATGGCCAGTCCTTAGCACGGGCTAAGGGGCGCCATCAGACAATGAGCTTTGTTAAGCCGCTGTTTACGAAAAATCCTTTTAATTTTGCTTGCATATCCTAGTAAGCATTTTTTCTATACCCCAGCGAGGAGTCCAACTGTTTCAAAATTTCGCAGTCTTTCTATGTACTGTTAAAAACTCAAGACAGCAATGAAATCACTGACCAATAAAAATATTTCATTTTTATTTTCAATTTGACCGGGTAAAGCACTCATCAGAAAAAAATGCCAAATTGTTTGGCATTTTTTGTCCAAAAATTATAGATGACAGCCAAACCACGTGACTAATATATAGTTGGCTCCAGTCATACATCTTATATGCAAATATATCAAGATTCTTACTCAGAATGGTGTCTAAATTTTGAGACTGATCCAAATTCTGCCAAAATCAATTGATCAAGTCAGGCGCACCAGTTCACAATAGGACATTTTAGATTCATTCAGCAGTTTTTGAAACGAAATGATGAAAAAAACGCAAAAGGCTTGGATCATAAAGAAAAAAAAAGCCAGACTAATACGATACGAGCTGTTCAGACGTTGGTCCTTATTCACAATGCTAACAAAAGAGCTTCAAACCGTATAAACAGGTGCGGTCAACATAGCCGTTCATTTAAAAAGCTCTCTCAAAAGGCTTGCCATATAATTGGTCCTGTGTTATGCAATAATACACGCAATTCAATGTGATTATTCATTCAACTTAAAATAAACATGTTACTTGAAAGTATTGGCTGCTCTAGAGAGTTAGGCTTGCAGTAATGTATGCAGACAATTAGTAGACATGGATCGAAATTCGAAGCTGTGTGGGTGTGTCCTTGAACTTTATAACCAATGTAGTAGCACGACGTACCTCTTAACAACATCAAACAACCGAGACAAACTGTGTCCGACTTTTTAGTCATTACTGATACATTTGCTGACCTTAGATTTGTTTTCTTTAGATTAAAGGATTTTCTCGACACAGAAATAAGAAGTGATAAAAGGTGGATATTTCTCGCATCACACCATCAAAACCATAGCTAGTCGATAATATGTTTACTAAACTCTCAGCAAAGTGAAAGCCACAAAAAGAACAATTAGCTTGATCTTCTTTTTGTCGGGATTTGGAGCTCCAGGCCACGCGTAACTTCGATGCCAGCCATTTTCTCCTTTATCCAATTGCATATGTCATTGGAGTATGTATTTCTGGTGGACTTGTTATCCACTCGTACAACGAACATGTCGTCTGCTTTAGATTCATGTGTATTCTTCCCACCCTTTTGAACGAGAAATTTTGAAACCAATGTTTTTTCGTGCATTTAAGATGCAGGGAAAATAGGTCCATGGTAACCACAATAACTACTGAAAGTAGCAGACATTTGACTTTTTAAATTTTCCGAGAGTCGTTCTAATACAGTTTCCCCGTTGTCGCAATTGTGTCCTCGTTTGACTTCAATAAAATGGCTGTCACGGGACCACGAGTTACTTGACCAAAATCCCTAGAAAACAACTTCAAACAGATCATAATCGGTGTTCGTGCTTGTGAATGTTTATCAAACATACTAATAATTGGTGATAGTGAAAATACGAGATATGTCAGAAAGACGGGTGCACCGCAGGCAGTAATGAAAGCTCAAGTCGGGAAAGTGAATCAAACTAAGCTATATCTAAGTTATGTAATAAATGACATGAACATTTTAGTTTAACCAATTTACCTACCTTGCAGTTCGTTACGATCGGCAATGGTTAAGATTGGTAGCCCCGTTTAGACAATAGATTAGCTAATGGAATGTAGTCGAACTCATAGAACGAAACCATACAGGTCGAACTTGGACCAACCTGATTGGAGTGAAGAAGTGATCAATAATGGACCAATGCATAGAGTGAGGTAATTTGACAGAATTATACGCACGGCCGATTCACTCGGTGACATTTTAGAGATATTAAAACAGTTTTTTTTTCAGGTATGACCTGACATCCCCTTTATCTAAATAGAGGCATCGTAATCTTATGCTAATGATCCGTTGGTTGAAAGGCTATCTAAATATAGATGTAAAGCGTATTCTGCAGTAATAAATGCTACTAAAACCACGCAGTGACATATTTATATTCTGACCTCCCTTTCCCGATCATTTTATGTTGAGGGTACTGGACACACCTACATTGTAACTGACCTTCAAAAAAAAACACCCCCCCCCGAAAAAAAAACAGACTCCCGCTTTAATTCATATTGTGCATTTAATATTTCCAAGTCAAGTTTTTGAAAATCAAATCTACACTGTATCTTGGTTGAAACATACTCCTTAACGTCTTTAGTGATTAATTAATAATTTATTCTTTTGTTATACCATAGAATATAAGGAACATGTTTATGGTTATACTATGTGTTATAAGGTCTTACGTGAGGTCACTGAGGTCATCTCTATGGCAACATTCTGTTTAGATATTTATTAACTTTGCCTAAAGCAGTGAATGCCAAAATATATGTAGGACATACATTAAACGTCTAAAGAACTGGTCTATATCATATACTGTGATTACAAAACAACCTCAGTGATTGACTACCGACATTACGTGGACATTGCGTGGACATTGCTTGGTGACTCTTTTGGTGGATTTGCTCTCTCGTGCTCAACGCATCCATAAAGCATCATTTGGCGATTTGCATTTTTTCTTATTATTGTTAGACGCTTCTTACTTCTTACTCAAATCGCCAAATATATTGATCCGTTATTCGGTGAAATAAACACAATGCCAATATGTATCAACTGATCTATAACTTAATATTATTGTTGTATATTCTTATTTATGTCTATTTATTGCTGTATATTGAGTGGGTGTATATATACAAGTGTTTGGGATATCCTCAATTTTACATTTTTATAGAACGCTTCAGTGTTGTAAATTGTGTTTACTTTATTGCCTGTTATTTGTAATCTACGTCCCAAAGCGTGTCTCTCTCTCGCTGGCGTTCAATAGGTGTTGTAATATATCTGGATTTGTTGTGTCGAACTGTGGAGTACTTGTTGGTTACTATAATTATAATAATTATATAATTACTTTATATTTTTGTCAATGCTTGTGTTTCCTGGCAATTAATCTTACACGACGAGAAGGCGAACTTAAACCTGTACAGTAGAGAACACTGAAATACATGAAACTCCGAAATTAACTAATATTCCGGAAAATATCGATCAAATTGTCGTTCGTTCAATCAATCCATCAAAAAGTGGTAGAAGACTAGATCGAAGTAACAGATAGAATCGGAGAGAAACCAATTGAAAACCCAAGCAGAAGAAATATTTTAAATAGTTAGCGAATTCTTACAATCATTACTCTCATGCCATATTGTTCTGAAACTGGCGGCCTGGTTAACACTTTAGAATCTACTTGAAATGAGATCGAAAGTAATTACGATGGCTGCTTGTTAGTTGGAAATTTCAATATTGATATTGTACATGTTCTGTCGCCGACAGCTAAGCATTTTGTTGATACCCTCTCTTATTCATAGTTAGAACAAATTGTAAGTACGCCAACAACAAAACTTAGTAAGTCAACTATAGATCACATTTATACTATTTTTTACAATATGCAGATTTCCCACTTGTTGCAGATTTGTTTTTATTTTATTAAATGGCCACATGATCTGCAATCTCTTCTTCAAGACCTTTCCTGTGTCTATGATTCTGAGGCATGATTTGAAAGCTGAATCATAGGACAGTGTATTGTATTGTAAAGACGTTAATTTAACAGCTAATAATTCAGTCAAATATTTGTTTGATATCTGCAATGAGCCCTCTTCCCGTTTAACCCCAACAAATAGTAAACGTGTAAAAAAGATAAATCATGGATAATTGCAATCAGGAAATCAATTAAAACAAATTCTATTTTGGGGAATTTATCAAAAGAAGAAAATCACAAGAATGTCGTAGCAAAAATCACCG